AAAATGGCTACCTTCTCGCAGGTCCTAACCGCTTGTTCGACATGAATCTATTTCGATAATTCAGATAACGTTTTTACCAACGGGAGTTTGTGAGTCTGTTGTAAACCGAGTTAGGCACATCTACATAATCGACTCCTTATTTCACTTGTTGAAATTCCTCTTCGATGCTTGACTCTCCGTTGTAGTGATACTTGAAAACAAGGCCCATTGAAATATTCCGCATTTCTATCGCTAAGCTTTTTTCCTATAAATTGTGTACTCTGAGTAATTGTTCCTTAATCGCTGTTGAATGAAGTTTGCGCAAGAGGTTATAATCTATTGGTTTATGCCATTTCCGGCTAACATAGCCCTTATTATATTGAATTCCTAATCATTCAATGTATTTCCATTCAAAAACGGTGATCCTTATCTTAGGGATGCGGAAGGAGAATATTATATTAAAGTTCGGGTATAACGCGCGACGTAATTGCGAAAAAAAAATAAAAACGGGCTGACGTAACTGCTTCAAAAAAGATCCAATCATAAGGGTTTTTTTTTTAATTAGTTGTTTATTTATTCAAACATTTACGTATTCATCTATTTATTCATTAAGCAACAACTTTGAATGTCCGCTTTAGCTGCTACTACTATTAGTATCATTTGTTACGGTACAATTTAACCGACAGAAAGAACAATTATTTTATTAAACAACTTGTAATATTCTTATCGAGTAGCGACTCTTAAAGGAAGTACAGTATTTATCCTAAATAAACTTATTTAAGCCCATTAAAAACCATCTCTTAGCTCAACCACTGACAAAATCTCACAGTTGTCTCCAAAGTTCCTCGAAATTATATCAACAATCTTCACAGTAGTTCTCCCTGTAGTCTTACTTGAAGGGCAGCCATCAACTGACTGAGCCATAAAAAATTTTAATTTTTAGATTGGTTTATTTCGATGAGTTTTGCCTGCAAATATACGATCGTCCAGAAAATAAACTTATAACTTACAATCACGAAGAAGACTGGTGACATTTACAACTGCATGAGTGCTTAAACAATAATAAACAGAATGACCTTTACCTGCAGATCGTAACTCAGACCTATCACAACCGACTAATAGCTGTTAACTAAGTGATTGTACTAAGTAATTGACTATTATTTCCAGTTTGCTGGATCCAGTTACCTAAGTTGTGCGATATTTCGATTCAAATTCAGCACAAGACGGCAATTCAACTGTCCATACAATGTCTATCTCACTTGATTTGACCTGTGAGCTCTTCCTTATGGAGGTGTCCTTTATCGAAGATAGAAAAACGATGTTCATCTTTCTTTTGAATCGTTCTTTGATCTGCAGATAGATGAGCGACATGAAATATGGTTCTTAGTACTCAGGTATTTATTGAAACACTACAACTTGATGATATGCAGTTAGTGTATAAACAGTTTTCTTTTCTCACCTGAGTGTTTCGCATGGAGTGTAGAGCGAAAATCAGGAAACCCTACAGAATAAACATTCCTTTTTACAATATTTAAATAAACTAGGCAAATATATTTTAAGATTTACATATGTATGAAGAGAAATCTACGAAGAAAAGAAAATTGCGTAACCCATAACTGAGGAAGAAATCTGTTTTCTTTAGCATATTTAACAGTTTTTTCTTTTCATAATTCCAATAAATATCATGTAACAATTGTAATGTTGTATCGCCTGGTTAAAAAGTTTAATCGAGATTGAATGATTTTTGAGAGAAGCCATTCAACACTCACCTGAGTAGAGTTGAGTATGGTGAAGATGTAGGCGAAAGCTTTATGCACAGGCAAAAGGAGACCAAATAGCCACGTGACACCCAGTAGGGGAATTATCACTAAGCATGCTTTGATGCCAAGTCTAGGAGTTAAAA